AATACAACAGTTATTTCAAACCATCTCCACATCCTTTGGTTATCTGCCTATTTACTTTGTAAAGAAAATAAAAGTCATCAGATGAGAATCCCTTAACTTCCTTCCACCAAACTACAAATTTACTGGCACTCATTTTTATGCATGGTTTCTTTCTGTTACATCAGAAAAGGTATCCATGTAAGCCTAATCTCTCTTTCTCTATGGGTCCTGTTTTTTCCTGACTTCTCAGGAAATTTTCTATGTTGATAATTTTTCTCTTTTCTATACTGCAATTTCTCTAGTCTCCTACTTTATAAAATCCTGTCTTGCGTCCTTAACTGCACCCAACCTTTCTCCTTTCATAAACATTCAGTAATGCCCAAGATTGAGGAATTTTCAAAATACAAGAAAGGGCTTAGGACTTTGGTATTCAGGAAGGAGGAATGATATGTTAGGTGGGTAGTAGGAACCTTGGACTAAAAGAACTATAAGGGTTATAGTAATTCATGTGAAAAATATTTATTGAATGCTTACATTATGCCTCTTATTCTCACAATTCTTTGGGCCTGGTGTCTTAGCATGAAGTTAAGAAGGCTTCATAAGGACAAAGAACTTTTGAAATCCTAGGTGAAATTTTTGAGTATGTATATTTTTCTAGTGAGACAGCCATATATTTGATTAGAATTTCACAGAGATCTATTGCTTATTGTTTTTCATGGAAAGAATATAAAAAATCAAGAATTCCAAATTGTAGTCTCTGTTTTCATGGTCTTTACAATCTAGTTGGGAGATTAAGCAAGGATAAAGCCAGCTAAGGCAGATATTGCAACAAATTAATGAGTAGTAAAGATAGTATACATTTTAGAACCTCAGTGAATATGTATCAGAGAGCTTAGGAAAGATTTTAGGGAAGAGGTGGGACTCAACCTGAGTCTTTTCAACTGAGTAGAAATTGTCCAGGTAGACAGGGAGGCAGGTGTTCTAAATAGATAAATTTATGCCAATAAGTTTTTGAAGGAAGGGCAATCGTAAGATGCCCTGATGACAACATAGACTAGTCTGTTGTTGTTTTCTTTTTAAGATTTATTTATTTTTGAGAGAGAGAGAGAGAGAGAGCGTGAGAGAGCGCATACACACGTGCACAGAGCAGGGAGGGAGCAGAGAGAAAGGGGGACAGAAGATCCAAAGCAGGCTCTGTGCTGACAGCAGCCAGCTCTTCGAGGCTCAAACTCATGAGCTTTGAGACCATGGTCTGAGCCCAATTGGATGCTCAACCCACTGAGCCACTCAGGTGCCCCTGGAGTCTGCTTTTAACAACATAGTAGGTTCAAGGGATATTGAGGGGACCAGAGTTAAAAGGTATATTATCTCTAGAATGTGGAGGGCCTTAAATTCCAAACTGAAGATCTTAAACTTTATCTTGCAGAAAATGCCACACTCATTTTTCTTTTAAAGCAGGGTGATGACAAATAGAAATCAAAGTTTTAAGAGTTCTGTAATTTAAATGCTTGCCCTAGATGTCCTGAGGTTTCAGAAAATAACCTACTCAGAAATCTATGTTTTGCATTAATTTTAGGTTATTGCATGTGACTGTCAGCTCTTAAATAACAAGGGAAATGTGCTTATTACATATTACCTAGATCATAATCTTCTGTGGCTTATAGTACCAGTACACTTGCTGAACAGACTAATTACTATGACTGAATGAAAATATTAGCAATGTGTAATTAGTGTAGAAGATGGAGCAGAGATGGGTTCATACCTAACTAATTGCCACTAACTTTTACTTTGAGTGGAACCAAGTTTCAGACTTCGTTTTCTCCTCTGAAACATATGGGTGTAATTAAATGTATATGTGAAGTTCTAGGATCATAGAAAGTGGGGTAGGCTTAGGGTCTTCTCCCTCAGTGAATAAACCTGGGATGAAAAGAAAGCACTCTGGAGAGGAATTTGGGAGATAGATGAAAGTTCAGATCTGATTGTCTAGAAAGGAAAGATCTGTGAAGCTGGAACTGATGATCACCGTCAGTTAATTTTTTTTCCTGCTTTCACTTAGTTCAAGGTAGAAGTTAGGGTGAGGCATTATTTGTGTTGCTTTTAGATTTTCAGTTGAACAAACTGAATGTTAGAGTTAAAGTCATTTTTTTTTTCAGTCCTAGGAATAACCTTGGTAATAGCTATTTCAACCTCATAGCCTGAAATATGAAATAAAGCCCAGAAAGCTTAAGTGGCTTGCACAAGGACACATAGTAAAGTGAAGGAACAGGTGAGAAGGACTATTTCACCACTGTATGCACATTGCCTTAGAATGCCTTGCACATAGGAAGAACTCAATATTTGCTGAATGAATGAATGAATCTCAGGCTTCTGATTCCTTGTAGCATTGTTTCCACTGCACTGTAGAAAGTATGGCAGATTTAATAAAACAGTGTCTTTGAGGGGTGCATAGGTGGCTCACTTGGTTGAGTATCTGACTCTTGGTTTTGGCTCAGGTCGTGATCCCAGGGTCATGGGATTGAGCCCCATGTTGGGCTCTGTGCTGGGTGTGCAACTTGCTTGAGATTCTCTCTCTTCCTCTCTCTCTCTGCCTCTTCCCCACTTGCAATCTCTAAAATAAAATTAGGGGTGCCTGAGTGGCTCAGTTGGTTAAGTGGCTGACCTTGGCTCAGGTCACGATCTTGCTGTTTGTGAGTTTGAGCTGTGCTGACAGCTCAGAGCCTGGAGCCTGCTTCGGATTCTGTGTCTCTCCCTCTGCCCCTCCCCCACTTGCGCTCTGTCTCTGACTCTCTCACTCAAACATAGATACACATTAAACAATTTTTTAAATAAAAATTAAAAAAAACACAATAGTGTCTGTAAGGAAACAGGATCTGCTTGTTCAGTGTCAAAGGATAAAGATCATCACAATTACAATACAGATATGCTACCTTAGCAATATAACCTCATCTCACATTGTGTATTAGTTTGCTAGTGCTATCATAACAAAGTGCCACAGACTGGGTGGCTTAACCAACATACATTTGTTTTCTTACAGTTTTGGACATTAGAAGTCTAAGATCAAGGTGTTGGGAGGGTTTGTTTCTTCTTCTTCTTTTTTTGGGGGGAGGGGGGAGGTTTGTTTCTTCTGAGGGCCATGAAAGAAGGATCTGTTCTAAGGATCTCTATCCTTGGCTTGTAGACAGCCATTTTCTTCCTGTGTTCTCTTATTATCTTCCCTCTGTCTATACTTGTGTCCAAATTAACTCTTTTAAGGACACCATTCATATCTGGTTAGGGCCCACCTAATGACCTCATTTTAATTTAATGGCCTATTTAAATATTGTAAATCCAAATATGTTTACATTCTAATGTGTTGAGGGTTAGGACTTCAACATATGAACCCATAGAGGGGACATAATTCAGCTCATAACATGGAAACTAGCTTTTCCATCACAGAGCATATGTATTAAACTGTCAACCCCATTCTCCATCAGTAGCCAAGGTGATGTTAACAGAGCTCCCAGTTTATAGTTAAGCAGCCAGTTGCCCAACAGCTTCAAGGCTCTGTCCATGCATGTACATTATCCAGGTGGAGGAGGAAGGTTGGCTTGCCAGCATGTCCCCCTGCCAGCAACTAAAAAAGGAGCCATAGGGCATGGACTGGCTGTTTTTTTTTTTTAACCACATGTTATTATAACTGATGAAACAATACTTTCTTCTTTGGAAATTAGCTCTTTCCTCATCTTGTAAAGTGCTATAAGAAGTCTGAAGGGATTTGATTGTTTTTATTATGGTTGAACTCTTGCTTAGATGATGAGTGTATATTTCAGGAGTATCCTGGGGGTGACATTTATAAGGAGGCTCTGAAATGAGTGCCCACTGAGAGGATCCTGGGGAAAACCAATAAGGCTCTCCCAAGGGTTTCTGTGAAGATCCTTAAAAAAATTTTTTTTAAATGTTTACTTTTGAGAGAGAGAGAAAAAGAGTGCGAGCAAGGAAGAGGCAGAGAGAGAGACACAGAATCTGAAGCAGGCTCCATCCTCTGAGCTGTCAACACAGAGCCCGATGCAGGGCTCAAACCCACGAACTGTGAGATCATGATTTGAGCCAAAGTCGAATGCTCAACTGACTGAACCACCCAGGTGTCCCTGTGAAGATCCTTAAATAAGGAAAAGCTTATAATTACTTTAAGAGAAAAACAGTTTGCAGTTAGAAATCATTTGGAAGAGATGAAGTTCCAAGGTAGGGTCAGGGGGTCCCCAGGTTCTATCCTTGGTGGGCATCTGCTATTTGTATTAAAGTGAGAGAAAGGCTGGTGTTCCTTGGAGAAAATGTTACTTTACCAGAATGATTCTCAGGAGCTGTAAGCTTAGCTTTATTATCTGCACCGTTGATCAAAATGTTAAGTGTCTTTAGCTTAGAACATCTTCTCATCCATGACCCTCACAATTAGAAATGGTCCTATCCTGGATCAAGGCCTTCTTGGGCTTATTCCTAGTTACAAAGGTATGAATACTAAATACAAACTTCAGCAGGTGGTACAGAAGTATTTGGATTATTAGATAACAATTTGATACTTTGGCCTGATTGGTATTAAGTTGCTTAAGTCAACAGGTTGTCTACAATTTCTATAATATTGAGCTGAATTTTCAGGTCATTTTTTACTATTGTCTTATCAGACATCAGAGACCAAGATGATGCTGTAGTCTTAGAAGGAAATATTAACAAACATTAGTCCATGACATTAGACAAATAATAATGTCATGATCAATGAGTCACTGCAAGAAAGGACACAGAAAGCTGTGGGGTGAAGAATAAAAACCTTTGGAAAGAGAATTGTATAGCTTTGGGGATGGAAATAACGTAGGGTGCAACCTAATAGGGAAAAATGGTTGGGGAAAATAGTTTCCCCCCCTTTTCATATTTAGACATAGATAATAGTAGCCAAATACTTTTTAAGTGGGAACTTATATCAGCTATAGATCAATAGATGTTATGATTTGATGCATAATGAAACCAGACAAAAATAATTGTTTGCCAAACATTTATTTTTCATACAGTCCAATCATTTCAACAAGAATGTCTCCAAGGCAGTATCAATAGGTCTCAAAGGATTGTGAGCTGATGGGTCTCATCTAAGGGCCTCTAGGAACTTGCCCTTCTGTTCACAAATTTTTCCCTTTCCCTCCCCCAAAATGCTGTTCTCTTATTGGCTCTAGAGTGAAATAGATGTTTACAGGATCCTGAGCATGTTCCCTCTAGGTTAAAATGAACAAAGGTAGGAATATTCTCAAATTAATCAAAGAATGGGGGGGGGGCGGGGAGAACTGAGCACTACAGACTACGGTAGACAGTTTTAAAATTTGAGCTCTGGAGTTGTTTGGGAAACACCTTGCTTTTGCCTCCAGGGATTTTATGAAGTATGAAAAAATCGAATTCAAATTAAGTTTTGAAGATAAAACTTCATAACATATTTCTTCCAGTTAGGAGCTGATTTCACAGGGAATTTTTTCTGGAGAAGTCACTCCCCACTGCAGTATTCAATGATTGTAAAAATTCAGTCCCCTTGCAGGATCTGTATTAATTATGCCACAAGAAAATGAGAATCTGTTTGGAGGTAAATATTAATGTAATTTAGGCTCAAGAAAAAAATGCCAGCTGGAACATAAAAAATATCTAAACTCTCCACAAGATGAATCAATCATTAAAACAAACAGACTCTATTATTTTGAATCTTAAATCCTATTATTCTTGTTACTTTTGAAAGCAATAAAGAAACGTTCCCCAAACAAAACTCCGTTAAACAAATTAAATGATTTATATTTTTAAAAATTGCACACCACATCTGCACCAAAGAGCAAAGACACCCTGAAGTAAAGAACTACTTGAGGAAGAATAAAAGGCAAGAGTACAAGGTACATGAGATGAGTGTAGTTTAAGATTTTGGAAAAAAAAGATTTTGGAAAATCAGAGTTCTCCCACAACCAGAAACATTTGAGTCATGTGGTAACCAGTGTTTCTTTTCCCTTGGCTGGAAGGTTTGGCAGGTGTCGGGATATTGGCAGCATCTCTTAAGGGCGGTACTGAGACCTCTGCTCTTGGATATATTCATAGAGAGGGCTGGAGCGCACCGGGACACTGGCAAACTGACTCTTGCCTGGCTCCAGAGTCTGCCCACGGCCCTTGTCTCCGTCTTCCGAGACTTGCCCGCGGTGCCTTTGTTCTTCCTCCTGCTGGCGTAGGAGCTGTTCTTCCCGGAATTTCCTCTCCCTCTCCAGGCGGCGTCTCTGCTCTTCTTGCCGCAGTTCTTGCTCCTGACGACGCCTCTTCTCCCTGGCAAACTGCTCCTCCGCGGGGTGCTGCTGGCCTCGCTCCTGCAAGCGCCTCAGCTCTTCCTGCTCTTCGCGTGGCAGTTGCTCTTCTTCCTCGAGGAACTTCCTGTCGCGCTCCTGTCGGTGTCGCTTTTCTTCTCGCTCCTGCTGGACGCACTGCTCTTGCTCAGCGTCCTTCAGTTGCCCCTCGAGGGAGAGGGCACCATCTAGTTCTCGGCGGCGCAGCCTTTGTTCCTCCTCCTGGAACTTTCTGTCGCGCTCCTGGCGAAGCCTTTGCTCACGTTCTAGGCGGCGCAGCTGCTCCTCCTCACGGAACTGTCTGTCGCGCTCCTGGCGGCGCAGCTGCTCCTCCTCACGGAACTGTCTGTCGCGCTCCTGGCGGCGCAGCTGTTCTTCCCTTTCCTGCAGGAGCTGCTCCTCCTCACGGAACTCTCTGTCGCGCTCCTGGCGGCGCAGCTGTTCCTCTTCGCGGAACTTTCTGTCGCGCTCCTGACGGCGCAGCTGTTCCTCCTCGCGGAACTGTCTGTCGCGCTCCTGGCGGCGCAGCTGTTCTTCCCTTTCCTGCAGGAGCTGCTCCTCCTCACGGAACTCTCTGTCGCGCTCCTGGCGGCGCAGCTGTTCCTCTTCGCGGAACTTTCTGTCGCGCTCCTGACGGCGCAGCTGTTCCTCCTCGCGGAACTGTCTGTCGCGCTCCTGGCGGCGCAGCTGTTC